ATCAGAGCACCTTGCAAGTGACCTAAACTACCTATTTGTAATGAGAAAAATTATTTACTTAGAGTTATTGGAATGAGGGAATGTATATCAAGCCCTAGAATATTTCCTGGCAAATTGAAAAGAAAGTTTCAATACACTTTATTAGTAGCTTTACTAACAATGTTACATTGTTATTCTGATGTGTGGTCAGTATTGTGTTTCTCTCGGATAAACATCAGACTGTTAACTGCAAGATCAGCAGTTCAGAACCACCAGCTAGCTACTCCATGGGAGAAAAACGAGACTGTTCTCGTAAAGATTTCTGCCAGGGAAACCCCACATTGGGTCGGTACGAGACAGACTTGATGGCAGATTGATGACAGTGAGTTCGGTTTGGGGGTGGTTCTAATGGCACAGGTGGATTTAATGGTAGAAAGTCTGGTTCTATATTTATGGTTTTTAACATTTTGATCTCAATATAAATATTAATGCACAGACTCTGCTTGACCATAAAGTCGCTAGAGCAAATGGAAGAAATAATGAAGTAAAAGAACTGAACAGAAAATTTCAAAGGAAAGCTAGAGAAAATGAAGTGTTATAAGAAAGGTTGTAAATTGAGAATGACGAGGATAACGAATGTACAAATGTGCCTTAAACAATTGATGTATGTGTGGATTGTGATAAGTCGTATGAGCCCCCAATAAAACGATAAAAAAAAATAATTAATAAAGGTTGTAAAGGCCTGGAGCTAGAAAACCAAAAAGGAAGAACATGCTCGGCATTTAAACTGAAAGAACCACAGGGAAAATTCAAGCCTTGAGTTGCAATATTGAAGGATTCTATGGGCAAAATGTTGGATGACACAGAAAGAAGATGGAAGGAATACACAGTTACAGCAAAAAGAATTGTCCTGCATTCACTCCTTTTAAGAATTAACCTATACCATCGGTAGGCAACTGGACACCCCCGTGCTGAAGGGTTGTGGGGAGAAGATGAGCCAGTCAGGGTGCAGGGTAGCAACGATGAAACATACAATTTTCCTCTAGTTCTTAAATGCTTCCCCCCCCCTTATCATGATCCCAATTCTGCCTTATAAACCTGGCTAGACCAGAGGATGTACATTGGTACAGATAGCAACTGGAAACACAAGGAATCCAGGACCGATGATGACTCCTTCAGGGGCGATGCCTGGAGGGTGGAGGGAATGTGGAGTAGAAAGGGGGAACCAGTTTCAAGAAGCAACGTATAGCCTCCTCCCTGGGGGATGGACAGCAGCGAAGAGGGCGGGGGGAGATGTTGCACAGTGTAACTTATGACAAAACTATAATAATTTATGAATTATGAAGGGTTCATGAGGGAGGGGAGAGGGAGGGGGGAAATGAGCAGTTGATATTAAGGGCTAAAGTAGAAGGCAAATGTTTTGAGAATGATGAGGGCAACAAATGTACATATGTGCTTGACACAATGGATGTATGTATGGATTGTAACAAGAATTGTACGAGCCCCCAATAAAATAATTAAAAAAAAAAGAATTACCGTATATTTTCAAGTATAAGCCAAGTGTTTCCGGCATATTTTTTATGCAGTTTTTGCGGTGAAATTAGGTGCCTCGGCAGATAGTCGGGTTGGCTTATGCTCTACTATATACGGTAGCTTATCAAGAACCAGAAATACTGAAGGAAGAAGTCTAAGCTGCATTGAAGGCAAAAAAACCACTGCAATTGACAGTGCCCATTGAGAAGTTTTGACAAACGATGCAGCCTGGGAAGAAGCACCTACGCCAAGAAGTTTGGAAGCCAGCTAGCTACCTGGCCATATCTGTGCCCATGTCAAAGAAAGGTGAACCAACCGGATTGGAAATTGCTCAGTAGCATTATCACACACTAATAAAACACAGCTGAAGATAATTCAGAAACCATTGCAGCAGTGCAGTCATAGGTAATTGCCAGAAATTTAAGCCAGATGCAGAATGAAGACTATCATTGCTGATGACAGATGGCTCTTGGCTGAAAGCTGAGAATACCAGACAGATGGCTGCCTGTGTTTTATTGATGACATAAAGGCGCTCAACCGTATGGATCATAACAAATTAGTTATAACATTGTGAAGAATGGAGTTCCAGAGCACTCCATTGTGTTTATTTGGAAACTGTACGTAGACCAAGAGGCAGTTGTTCAAACAGAACTAGGAAATACTATCTGGTTTAAAATCAAGAAAAGTGTGTGTCAGGGTTGTATCATTTTGATCTGTGTGCAGATAATTTGAGAAGCTTGAATATATGCAGAAGAACATGCATCAAGATTTACCATATGTTGGTGATGTAATCTTGCTTAAAGCAAGGAGGACTTAAAGCACTGATAAAGATTAATAAGTACAGCCTTCTATATAGGTTACACTTCAATATAAATAAAACAAATCCTCACAATTGCACCAATAGACAGTAACATGATAAGAAGAACGTATTAAAGTTGTCATGGAATTCATTTTACTGAGATCCACAGTCAATGCCCACGGAAGCCGCAGTCGAGCGATGCTCTGAGTCAGAATCTGTGATGGCCGGGCGTTTGTTTTATTCCATTGCGCCGATTTGCCAGATAACTCTTTAGAGTGTTAAAGAGCAAAGATGACATTTTGAGGACTAAAGTGTGTCTGACGCGGGTCATGTGAATTTAAATTGCTTCATATGCATGTAAAATCGAGACGCTGAATTAAAGAAGACCAGAGCTGAATAGATGTCTTCGGATTGTGGTTTTGGCAAAGACTATTAAATATACTCTCCTAGCTTGCCAAAAGAACGAACAACAAATCCGCCAGGATGCTCCTTAGAAGCAGGGATGGCGAGCCTTCAGCTCATGGACGTGAGCCATGCTGTCAGGAGGCACCGGCCCCTGAAGCAGAATTTCATGTTTGGTAAAGTTAGAGGGGCAGCACAAAGAGGAAGAACCTCCGTGAGATGATGGCCACAGTGGCTCCCACAGTGGACTGCAGTATCTCCGTGGTTACGACCGTGACGCAGGCCTGGGCGATGGTTCCTTCTGGGTCACCCTGAGTTGGAACTGAATAACAACAGCAGATACCTGGTGTGTACTTGCCCAAGTTAACAGTTCGTGTGGTTTTGATAACCTTATAGCTTTGTTTGCTCACCTAGAGTAATCAGATCTCACACTCACCACCTAAACTGCCAGCCAGCCAGCCCTCCTTGAATTTCAGCTTTCAATGCCATGTCACTTGATAACATAAAGGTGATTGTCCAATCCAACTATTGCTCTAAGGAAATATAAATCTGATGTGTATTTTCAAATCCTTGAGGTGTAGTAAATGCATTATTGTTCACCATAGAACTTATCATCAGACCCAGTAAACTCTAAATACTAGTTTGCCCCAGCAGTTTGAATACTTTCTTATTCATTTTTGTATTAAACTTGACATTTATTTCAGTATATATAGATAATCCGTAGTTAGTTTGGAATCAATACATTCACCATTTAGCGTTGGTGATATGGTTGGTATATATTAATACTAATACTGAAGAAATATTTTCATCTGATGGTACTTAAACAAAGTTTAAGAGTCTCTTCACGAGATTGCCAGTGAATTTCAGAATGTAATAAGAAGCAATTTAGTATTAGTGCCTGTTAGTTCTCAAAGGTTGGTGCATACTATAGAATTAAATGGATAGGCTTTATTAAAATTCATGATTTTATCGACTTTAAAAAAATCATTTTTTGGGGGGGGAGGGGCGCTCTTCCAGCTCTTACAGCATTCCATGGATCAGTTGTATCAAGCATATTTGTACATATGTTGCCATCCTTTTCTAAACATTTATTTTTTATTTGTGCCCTTGGTAGCAGCTCCTCCTTTTTCCCCTCCCTCCCCCACTTTGGTTTTTATTTCTCCTAATTTTTGTATTCTCCATACCCCATCCCTGACTGTAGGCCCTTTACCAAAGGTACCATTTTATTATTATGTAGTAACTTTTATCAGGAACACTGAGCTCTTTGGAATTCCACGTGCTCCTGTGTTCTGATTAGGCCACATTTTACAGACTGTTTGAGCTGTTGTAGCTCCTTCATCCAAGTGTTGTTGTCGTCTTCGTTATCTTAGGTCCTTTGAGTTGGCTCCGACTCAGAGCCGCCGTGGGGACAGTGGGATCAAACACTGCCCCGCCTGCGCCGTCATCACGTTCTTATTGCATCAGAATGAAGCAGTGAAAGAATATTCTGACATGAAATTGTAGCTCTCCCAAGAATTTGTGAAATCCACTATGAGAGAAACATACTGTATGTTTTTGGTCTCCCCAAAATGTGTTTATCTCTCTTTGGTAATTGTCACACACAGTTAACTAGCCAAACATGAAAACGTGCTTTTTAAGTAACCTAGGTATAAGAGGAGAGACGCGCTATAGTTTTGGGGGTACAGGGCATTGGCGAAAAGGTTTGGGGCAGTGTTTCATCATTATACCTCATTTTCAATCGATTAAAGTTGAAAACACATGAAGTCACCAGTTCTCATAGAAAGAACACAGGCCTCTGCTTCTAGTAATGAACCTTCTGATGATAAAGGGCAAAGTTGAAAGTTCATGCTCTTGGTCAATACAAGTAATACTGTGTGCAATGCATTAGCACAAGGCCGACTGAACTTTTTCTTTGTGCCTTTGGAGTAAAGATGCACCGTGCAAAGGCTCCTCTCCTTGTTTTAGTATAATTGTTTCCTTTTCGTTTCCTTCTTTTCTGTGGTTTTTTTTTTTTTCTTTTAGAGGGGAGGGCGAATGCAGGAATCACCATCACGAGAAAGAGAAAGAACAACACACTTCTCCAGACGACCACGGGCTGTTTTCACTTTTTCCCAGGTTCCCTTACAGCCCTTGCCGCCACACGCTCTGATGTTAACTGGGTGCAGCTTGGAGACGCGTTTCCTTTTGATACCAGGTGGTCATCGTCGGAGGAGGAGGAAGTTGCAGTCATGGAAACGTGGGGTTGTCTTGGGTGGTAATGTCTCTTGCTCTGCTTCTTTCCCTCCAGGAGAGACGCTGCTGATCCTGGATCATGGAGGATTGCCTTCACACCTCATCGGAGAATCTGTCCAAATTGGTCAGCTGGGCCCACAGCCACGGCACCATTTGCAGCCTCATTCCAAATCTGAAACACCTGCTTTCTGAAGGTTCCCATGGGAACCTGACGGCAATGTGGGGCTGCAGTGCGGGCCACGCTTACCACTGGCCACTGACGGCTACTTGCAGAGCTGGGTCCCAGGAGAGGGTCTGTTTCCAGGATAACCGAAGTTTTAACTCGGATAGTCCCAGTATCATTGGGGTGCCCTCGGAGACACAGACCAGCCCCGTGGAAAGGTACCCGGGGAGGCCCGGGAAAGCGAAGCTGGACTGCAACAGGACCAGAGACTCATGTGACTTCTCTTACTGCAGCGAGCCCTCTGAACTGGATGACGCCGTTGAGGAGGATGAGGATGACAACACCCTGTTTGACATGGTGTGTGAGTCTTCCGTGACGGATGAAGACAGTGACTTCGAACCCCAAACTCAAAGGCCCCCAAGCATCGCTCGGAAAAGGCCTGGTGTGACCCCGTCTTCCCTCCATTCCGGTTCCCAGGCTCGGCTGCTTGATGACAGCAGCAGCGATGTCATCATCAAGAAAATCAAACAGGAGATTCCCGAAGATTATTACATTGTGGCTAACGCAGAGCTGACGGGAGGCGTGGATGGGCCCGCCCTCTCTCTGACCCAGATGGCCAAGCCCAAGACTCAGACTCACGCTGGCCCCTCCTGTGGAGGGCCTGCGAAGCTGATGCCCCACGTCACGGCAGCCATCAGCACAGAGGCGGACCCACATGGAGTGTCTGCTTCTCCCTCGGTCAGCTCCAGACCAATGGCCCAGAAGACTGCCAGGGTCTCTCTGGCTTCACCAAGCAGAGCACCCTCTGGTTCCCACGGCAGCAACCAGCAGGTGGCAATGCAGATGCCCGGGAGCACATCCCATCCTAACACACAGATCAGCATCCCTTTGTCGGCCCTGCAGCTGCCTGGGCAGGATGGGCAAGTGGCTTCGGAGGAGTTCCTGCCTCATCTGGCCAGCCAGGTGTCCTCCTGTGACGTCGACCTCTCTCCCTCCGTTCACACCGAGCCGGAAGTGAGCTCCAGCCAGCAGCAGCCCCCGGTCTCTGCAGCCGTCACCACCGAGGCCACGGCGCAGTGCATACCAGGTATGGCACGGGAGGGGACACAGAGTCCCTCGTCCACATCCACCCAGAGTTCTGCGCCGCCGGCCCTTCGAAAACCCTGGGCTCAGCTTGCGGGAGTGTAGGCTTTATCACCAGGAAGAGCTTGACGTGGCCTCTTATATTCAGGTGCGACTAGAAAAGCGGGTCACCCGACCTGAGCCCAGCTCTCCAGGTGTGCTCTGGTGCCGAGCGGACTGCTGTAGCATGATGCTGCAGGTGCTGCCCGCCAGATTTAGGGTTGAGACCACCTGAAGCTACATTTTCCTGTCACAAAGTTACTTCTGAATTTTCTTTTTAATGCTCCTGTCAGTAGCTTGCTTAATTTGGTTGCTGTGTGAACCCAACATAATAATAGGTTAGGCATGTCATGACAATAGACCTCATGTTTTCCCCCTTGTTTTGATTATTTATTTCGGCATCCACTTGGCAGTTCTCTTCATTTTAGTAGATGTAGCCGTTCAACAAAACAAAAACAAAAGCCCCAGGTTTTTAAAAGCCACAGCAAATTCTAGAAGCAGTATTTTGTCTTATTCTCAGAATTTAGAAGAATCACATGACTTTGTATTTCTGCAGTGTGCGGGCCTAGCTGTCATGGCTTGAGAGGAGAAGGACACAGCTGGACGAGTTCTGTCGGTCCATTCTCCTGTAGCCCCAGCACTGTATTTGTTTTATCTGGACCATGGTTGCATCAAAGGGCCTAGGGGGATTCTTAGGCCTCTGAGTCCAGGGTTCGAATCAAGTAGGCCCTCAGTGGAAGCCAAGCAGAGCCGCGCAGACCTGGGGCGCGCTGAGAGAGCCGGCAGCTGGCGCCGGCCTTTTCCTTTCCTTTGGTCTCTCACCAGGCAGGCAGTCAAGTATTTTGGGAAAAGCCTTCTGGAAGCCCCGGGCACCTGTGCTGTTACCCGTTTAACTTCCTAGAGGTTGCTCTACCCATTTTCTTTCCCAGTTTTAGTGTCCAAGTGTATGATTCCCCTCCAAATTTCTTCCATTTATGATTTTTAAAAAACACAATCATGATTGCATTGATAAAGCATAACTGGAAAATATTCATATCCTTATCCAGAATTACACTTTTCAGCATATTTATTTATTGACAGTGTCATTGAAGTATAGTTTCCGTATCAGAAGATTCACTCTAACAAAAGCGTTGTTATTTTGCGTCTGTTGTGAGTTGTGGATCCTCGGCCACGGTCTCTCTGAGCACGTGTCAAGCAGACGGTTTTGCCCCCATCAGCGGTCCTTCTGACCCCTCCCGCCATCCACCGTCATGCTTGGCTTCCTCAGATTCGGCTCGCTGGCCCATTTTATAAAATAGGGTCAATATGTGGCCTTTTGTGACTGGCTTCTTGCATCTAGCATGTTTTCAAGGTATATCGATGTGTTACAGTTGTATTAGTGTCGTTCCTAGCTATTGCCAAATTTATTTTTATTGCATTGTGTGGCTGTTTGTCTCCATATTTTGTTTGTCTTTCCATCAGTTGACGAACATTTCGATGGTTTCATCTTTTTTTCCTATTTTCAGTAATGCTGCTCTGAACTTTCATGCACACATTTTTGAGAGGACATGTATTTTTATTTTGCTTGGAGAATGACCCAGAAGTAGAATGGTTGAATCAAATGGTAACTCTGTAGTCCCCTTTTATAGGGACCAATAAATTGTTTGCCCAGGTAGCTGCACTGTTACCAACAACATCTGAGGGTTGCAAATTCTCCACATGGCCCTGATGGTCCACATTTCTCCCTATTGCCCTTTTGCTCCCTATAATCCCCGCTGTCTAAGTGGGCGGGAAGGAGTATTTCATGATGTTTGACTTGCACGTCCCTACTGAAGGTGAGGTTGACAGTCTTTGTTTGTAAGGACTTGTGTTGGCCGTTTGTGTCCCTTCTTTTAAGACATTTTTTTGCTATTTAGATTTTTTGCCCATTCTCACTGAGGTTGTTTATTGCTTTGTGGGACAAGTTCTTTCTATGTTCCAGATACAAGCCCCGTGGATGTGATCTGTAAATGCAGCGTCCCCACCCATAGGCCATCTCTGTTCATTTCTTCCCCCCCTCCTCCCCTCCCTTTCACGGAGTTTGACCTTTGACTAACTTTCTTTTCCTTTTATCAAGCTGCCTGTGAACGTGTGTGTGCTAGGAAATCCAACTCTAGGTTCAGGTAGAAGATAAGCATAGCCTCTTTCATTTAAATGTCTGTGACTCTGCTGTGTGTGTGTGTGTGTGTGTGTGTGTGTGTGAAACAGCGAACTTCTTCTGACAGTGTTTTCTCCATTCTCATTTAATTTATATTGAAAGGCAGAATTCAGAAATCTTATTTTGGAAATGTGCCTGCATACCCAGGCAGCTTAAGAAGCTTGTTGTTTCTGTTGTAGCTGTCCGCCACTCACTCAGCCCTGTTCTAGGCCTGCATCGTGGGCAGGAAATAAGACACTGAGGTTCTTCATTAGATTGTATATCAGTATATTACTGTATGGTTATTTGGGGAAAGAACTTTATTCTATATGGAAATGAAACCAATTTAGCCTGTTGATTATGTGTAGATTATATTCCGCTGGGTATTTTTCTTGCCTTGAAATTACATTTGTCGTAATGGTTATAAAATGTAGGTACAGCAAAACAGCGCATTCCATATACAACCATTAACTGATTTGACTTAACTCTCAAAAAAGGATCGTTTCAGTTTGGAACTGACCTTTTGGAAAAACAAGAACTGGGAGTAGGAATGCCCTAGAATTTCCTAAGGAATGATCCTGTTGTTTGGATCTAGTTTTCTTTGGAAGGCTATTCTATTGCTGAGACAGCACTAGCTTTAGCAAAGTACTGCTTGGACTGGAGACCTGAATGGGACAAGTCAACGTCTGACTGATATAGTTCTTTTGTGAGCTGTGTATAGAGTTAACTTAAAACTTACTTTGATACGTGAAGCTCAGGTTTTATTTGTGTCCGCATGTTTGTTTATAGCAGATCATCTTCCATTCTAAAAGTAGATTTTAAAAGTTTAGAATCCAGCGTGTCCGAATGTACATGAATGACTGCAGTAGACCTCATGTAGCTAATGTAAAGCTCACTCAAGCCTAAGCCAGGAGGGCAGATTTTGGACAGAAGTGGTGGAAGCTGACTGAGACATTTTAGAAATGGATGCTGCATAAACTGGAGTCTTTACCAAGTCATTAATAGAAATACTGCATGTCTCTGGTATTTCTAAAATAAATAAGGTGACAAGTGACAACTGAGTAAGCCAGAAACAAAGAGAAAATACTCCATTTTTGTTGAGTTTTGCTGATGCCATTTAAATTCTGTTTCCGTAGTAAAAAATCATTTTTATTTCTATTCAGAACTCGCAGCCATAAAATGTTAATCAAGATGTGATAAAATCATTAATTTTCAAGTCAACGTTGTCATACTGCTCAATCTAAATCTTCGCAAACCATAATGAGAAAAGAGAACATCTATTATTGGGGAAATTATTGACTATCTACCACTAGCTTGGATTCCATTAACTTTTGAGGTTTTACTGTAAAGTCAGGCCATTTGTCATAGTGAAAATGAAATCATGAGTTACGGTTTTTAAAAAAATGTGCATGTGTGTGTATGTTTCTCAAAGGTACACATCTTCCTCTGCGGTTTTTGTGTGAAGACCTCTTGTAGTAATCAGTCTTTTCCTAGAAGTTTTAAGAAGGCAAGCAATGCATTTTGGTATATGATGCTTTTTAAATATACAGAGCATAATACATGCTCGCTTGTAGGAGATAATCTACTTGCGTAATATGATATAAACTTGAAAGTACACATATTTATCCTTCTCTGAGAGATTCAGGTGTTCTTTATATATTAGAAATGTTAATGTGCCATACATATTGGAGATTTGTTGTCCCATTAGCTTTTAATTTTAATGATGACTTATTTTTTTAGAAAACTTTTATTTATTTGAAGTGTGAGGGGGCCTTTACGGGGCCTTGGAAAAACGTATTTCTTCCCACAAATATTTTGAAGCTTCCTCATCTATGGTTTTCCAGTGATCTTTTTTGCCCTTGTTATTTTGCTGAGGAAGTCATTCTCCACCTGGATAGCAGGTAAACATTTACCTCCGCCTTCCTCTAGTTCTTCATTCTTCTCTCTATTCAGCTCTAGGATTAGAATATATACTAGAGTGAGGATTAGAATATATATTAGAGTGGAACCTCATTATTTTTCCAGGTCGTTGACTGTCCCAACAAACTTTATGGAATAATTTCCATTTCTAAATTAATTGATTCATACATCACATTTTTATTCATCTATGGGTCTGTTTCTAGATTCATACTTCTTTTTTGATCATTTTTTTCCCATCTAATTTTTTCTGTTTAATTAATAGAAAAGAAAACACATTTAGGCAGGTCTGGAAATAAGCTCACCCCCACGGCTCAGTTTTTGGCCTAACAATAGGCAGGCATCTAGGAGAATAATAATAACGGGTAGGAACACCGGAGAACAAGCAGCCATTTGAGATCCAAAAGGCTGCATTTCCGAGGGACGATGTGACGAGGTTCGGAAAGAAGCAGGAATGGAAACGGAGGCACAGGGAGGAAGTAGACGGAGTGCTGTGACATTGTCAGGATGGCACAGATTGAGATGGAGCAAAATGTAAAGGAATTGTTGATTAGAAAACTTATTTGTTCTGTGAACCTTCACTCAATTCACAGCAAAATGTTGGGAAAAAATGCTTTCAGAGAGAAAGAAGAGTATCGTGTAAAACATTTAATAGGATCATCTTTGGAAAAATATTGATATAAAATTGAGTTCAGTGAGTTTTTCAAATGGACTAAAATATTTATAACTTTTGCTACGTGGTCTGTGTTGACGCACGTAAACAATGGGTTTCTCTTGTCAAGCCAAGAAACTTGACCAAGCTTCGAGAATCACGTTTTCTATGGTCTAAGGACATTTTCAGACTAGCCTTCCTCCAGGCTCAAATCATGTCTATTTTCTTTCTTTCTTTCTCA